TCTATCTTCCTCCTTTAACCATTTACATCTAGATTTCTATCTCCAGCTTATTTCCTCCTGAAACAAGAGATCTTCCATTTGCCTCCTCACACTCCATCTCAGCTCCTTGTCTTCTTCTCTAAAAGATCCCCTTTCTTCCTTCAAATCCAATTCCTTTATTTGCTCCATCAAATTCTGCTTTCTCTCCTCCAATCTATTTGATAGTTGCTCTCTTCCTCACACTACCCAACCCCCGCACATTTCAACTTAGGATTCTCATTTCAACTTTAGGAATCAACCCTAACCCCACTAGAGATTTATTTAATCCCTTTCCTTCTCTCCCCTCTCACCCCAAACTTCCTATCCCCCTCAATGTCTCTTTTTAACCTCTCGACTTCACTCAGTTTTCTTTTTTTAATCTTACTCTCCCCCTTCTTTTTTTTTTTGTAGAAAAGCTTTTAGATCATTTGGATTCTTCAGTTTACACCCTAGCTTTCCAACAAATTCTGCTATTGAATCCTCCTTACTAGTCTCCCCTCTTTTACTATCTTTGTGCTCTCCACTCCTAGCCATCTCCTCAACTCTGCCCTCAAACTCCCCGCTACAAACCATTTCTATCCCATTTGTAACCTTCCTCTTTAGTTCATTTATTTCAACTTCACCCATTATACTTTCAATGATTCCCCAAATTCTTTTATCCCTCCAAGTTTCCTCCACCCTCTCCTTCCTTTCCATCTCCCCCCGATGTCTCCTTGTGGCCTTCTGATCATGGGCTTCTGACTCCAAACTAGGAAGGGCATTTGGAACAATGGACACAAGAACACCATCAGTATCAAAAACTGAATGTATATAGTTGACGGAGTTACCTGAGCTCGACTGAGAATTTAGAGCAAGGTGCATAGGAGGACAGATGGTTGTCAAACCCAGTAAGGAATAGTTGGAGTTTCCTGTCTCCTTGTTTTGGACGGAAATATTCCTTGTCATTTAATTCACACAAAAAGCGCTTCTCTTACCCGAATGTTTACCTCTCTGTGGTGTATCTCTGCTCAGTTTTGGGTTAACGTGAGCTAATGCCTTCTCGGTTTCTTTCCTAGCACTAAGGCTCATAGTTTTCAAGGTGCCAAGGCGAGGCTAGGCGACTGGGGGTGCCTAGTCGCCTAGTCGTCTAGGCGATGAATTTTTTTATGTTAAAAAATAGATCCTAGGGTAGTTCCCTAGGTACCATAACCATATTTCTTTAATAATTATTCATGGTTTTCATAA